TTATAACAAATTTATTCGCAATTCATTAACACATCTGTTATTAATAGTGCTCTAAATTGATGTGGATTAATCTATAAAATGCATATTGAATTTTCTATTTGAGACCAATTACCATTATGCAATTAAACAATATATGTTTGTTTGTTGTAAAAATTGTTCATGGTTTTTGAAAACATATGTAAAATAAAAATAATCCAGTAGAGTTTCACACCAACAACTTTCACTTCATAAAGCTCAAAAATTGAATGTCAAATATGCACTTTTCTGTTGTGACTTTGATCAAATCCATTTGGAGCTTACGTTTTATGTTAGCTTGATTAAATAGCAATCACATAGCATTTTGATAGTTTGTGAATACCAACTCATACGGTTATTCAAGATAAAAGATCGGTAATATAACAACTATTTTATATCGAGAATTTGCCCCATAATAAACAAATGCATATAAAGTTATGAACATATGACGCACCTACATATTTTCTAATTATTTGTATTCAATATTTACATATGGGCTCGCCCGTAGGTAAGCGGTTAAGAGCGACGGGACTTGTTTCAGAGGTCCCTGGTTCGATACCCACTTCGAGCAGCCTGTTGTCAGGCAGCATTGACAACGATTTTCACTTGAAAATATAGATAGCAATATATTCCCAAGTGGAAATAGCCCTTGCCCAGCATTGCTGCACCAATAAAATGTCAGCCCTATTAGATTAATTCTAATAACAAAATCATCAAATATGGATGGATTAACCATTGGGTTACCATCTAAAAAAATACGAAGTAAGGAAAAGTTTCAGCCCAACAGCTCATAGGACGTAAGGTTCTGATTGCTGTTCAAAAATAATAATAATAAAAACAATATTTACATAAGAAACCACTCAAGTTTTCTTTTTAGGTAAATTATTAGAGTTTACTATAAATAGTTTTTTTAAATTTTTGTAATAATTCCAAGAAGTAATAATGTATATTATCATTTCTTTATACAGATTATCAACTTCAATTTTAAAACTGCACTAGAAAATAATGTTTAAAGTATTTTTTATATGAGAAAGACGTATTTAAACGCAATGTAACCAAGTTTGATTCAAAATACAAAACTCGGACAAAACATTGAACAAATAAATTGTCACACCTTTAATAGTATGAAGTAAAGTGGCTCAAATGTAGATTAGTAAGTAAAACATTAATGGATTATGTCGTAGACACTTTTCATAAAAAATGCTTCTAAATACTGTAAAAATGTCGTGTATTTGCTGTGCAATCAGGCGTTTTACATATAAAGTGCAACTTCATTCATATGTTATCAAGCCATATCTCAAAAACGCATGACTGCACAGCAACTGCATAAGATTTTGACAGTATTTATTACTACTTTATATGAAAACTACCACATAACACAGCCTTGCCATAACATTGATTTATTTTAGGCAAGAAGACCATACGTTCCGGTTTTTTACCTTGTGGCCCGGGCTTTTCGGAAAACAATATTTGTCCCGGATTTAGATCTTATATCCCGGATTGTCCCGTGTTTTATACAATGAGTATGCTAATATGAAACAATACGTTATGAATGCAAAAATTATGAATGCAAAATTCTAAAGGCGATTTAAATGGGCTCTAACTTTAGCAACTTTTTTTTTTTTTTAAATTTATTTGAACAGCGATCAGAACTTATGAGTTCTATGAGCTGTTGTGATGAATCTCTTACAAACTACGTTTGTTTTATTATAGATGGCAACCCAAACAGTCTATGTGCTAAATTTTTATTATTACAATTGTTGTAATAGTGATGATTTTACTTTCAAGTGCATGTTGCCACTACAGCTATGCCCACGAAAGGCCATTTTCACTTGAAACCATATTTGAAATCTATGATTTCAAGTGAAAATTTGGTATCAAGCTGCTTTGATACCGAACCGACCGAGGTTGGATTCGAACCCGGGACTAGGATTTGCTAGCCCACGCTCTTACCACGGGCCGGCCCTTTAGCAACTTTAAACTTTCATTTCGAATTTTACGAAAATTAGCAAAAATTATGAAAACAAACTTCTTGAGCACCTTCCAAAAGTGTTAATTTTCCCTAGAAGGCCACATCTATTAAGAAAATTATACAAAAATTTATACAAGATATTGGGTTCTTCTACCTTGGTCAACTTAATTTTAAGGCAGAATCGGCTCCTCAGACAATTTTATTTACGATACTTGAATATCATAGCAAATAAATGCCACCACGAGAGCGTTGCGTCAAGAACTTTTCTTACCGTCAAGATTGTTATAGTTTCCTTTGAATAGTTTTTCCTATAATAGTGCTTGACGTATGTATTTGATTTGAGCACAAAACTTTCTGACAATGAGAAATGGCGCACTTCGATAAATCAACGCTTTCCTAGAGAGGCGAGCGTATGTCAGATGTCATACCGAAAATAGATACAGAATGGATCAGTATTAGCCCGATTTGTTGACGTTTACAGGATCCACGAGGATTTTTCGAATATTTCAAGATAAAGGTAAATAATTTAGCATGATGGAGTATGCGCGAAATGGCGTTCAAGAATGCCGACTTGTGCCAAAGAGGATTATACTTAGCTGGGTGTATGTGCGTTCAAAATACTTGCCATAAACAATTATAATAAATACTTATTAACTTCCCGATTTGCTAATTTTATGTTTTCTCGACGTTTCAAGTCATTCTTGAGACCAAATTTGGAAAAAGTATGTGTGTGTGTGTGTGTGAACAGATTTTTCGCCATAAATCGTCGTTTTCTTAAAAACGGCTGGACCGATTCCAAAAATTTAAAAGCCATTCGATATGTCTCGATGAGGATTATTGTTTGTCAGTTTTGTGCGACGATCGGCTAAGCCGTTTCCTTATAAATAGCAGAAAAGTGAAAAAAATTTCGTCCACGTTTTAGCCTGCAATTCTGAATCGATTTTGAAAATTCAAAAACCGTTCGATAGGTATTGGTTGGGAATCGTGATTAGTTTTTGATAGAGATCAGCCGGGGCGTTTTCTTGTAATAAAGTGTTAAAAAAAATTTTCGAAGATTTTTATTATTTTTTTTTTGACGTTAGATACCATAGTTCTATAGATCATACTAAAATGTCACAGCCCTACGACAAGTCATTTAATTTTAAAAATTCGTCAAAGTTTGCATACATTAGTATTGTTTTTTTGGCATTTGTCAAAATTAGACCTTCGATCGACGTTTTCTCAAAAACGCCTGAACCGATTTCAGAAATTTAAAAGCTATTTGATGTATATAAATGAGGACTATCGTTCATCAGTTTTGTGCGATGATTCGCCAGGCCGTTTCTTCGTAATTTTGAATAAAGTGTTAAAGTTAAGCTGATACTACAGAATCGATTTGAAGAAAGATATTAGTCGGGAATGATGCAGATTGGTTTTAGGAAAATCAACCGAGCCGTTTTCTTGCAATTACTGTTGAAAAAAGAATTTAAACCGATTTTTATGAAACTTTTTTTGAAGATATGGCATTATAGAACTTACTGAAATATTACGGTCTTATGACAAGTAGTTTAATTTTAAAATCAAAATTTTAAATTTTAATTTCAAAATTTGAGAAAATGAGTAGTTTTTTTTACGTTTGTTAAAATTAAAATTAGACAATTTACTTGGTATAACGATAGAGTACTTGGTTTCAATGAACACACTAAATCATTAAAGTCCTACGGAAACTAGTTCAATTATAAAAATTGTGGATTTTTGAAAATTTGCTTTTAGAAAATACTCCGAGTTAACGTGTTCGTTAAGTGTAATAAATCCACTCGGAATACTTTTAATCACTCATGAGTTAATTTATTTTTTATTCATTAAATCGATTATTTATACTTTTCGGGAAGTTCATGTAACTTGCCTCAAGAAAAAATACCAATACCAACTAGTTGTTTTAATAAATATAAAATTTACAAATTAACTGGTATCGAATTATTCAATTGCACGTGTCATATTTGTGACGCGGTATAAAGTAGAGTGATCACCTCAAATGATTGGGTACTCTAACAAATACTATAAATTTTAATTAAAATTATATAAGCAAATATGCCTGTTATTGATACTTAATTACACATGAAATGAGGCAAAGAGTCTATTTGTACTAAGGATTTTCTTCGCTTAATAAATATATTATTAAAATTGGAATAAAAACCGGTAAGAGGTCTACTTTTATGGAGGCACCAGGTTAAAAAACAAAACGCTACCTCGCATATCAATGCCAATATTTCCTTGTAAATCTTTGTATTTATACACAGATATATAAATAATCAAGCGGACTGAATGAATAGATTTTTGTCATGATTTACCTAATAGATTATTTAATATTTGAATTATATATATATATATATATATATATATATATATATATATATATATACGTTAAGTATCAAATATGGATGGATTAACCATTGGGTTACCATCTAAAAAAATACGAAGTAAGGAAAAGTTTCAGCGCAACAGCTCATAGGACGTAAGGTTCTGATTGCTGTTCGAAAATAATAATAAAAAAAAAAAATACGATATGTTCCAGATATAGAACAGATTCTTGGTTTCTACAAAAATAGATATTGATCACAAGTATATCTATGGTAAAATTGATTGGTTAACTTAATATTTGTTGTGATATAATTGAACTCATCAATGTAGAATCGTATTCGGTAAATGATTATATACCCATAATCAATTAAGCGAAAAAGAAAAACAACTGTCAACGTACTTGTAATTACCATTTAGGCGAGTGATAACAAAAAAATATATTTTCACTTTTTTATGTTTACTGCAGAGACTAACTTAATTCATCAACAGCGAAAAGGACGACTACCGGTTAACCTTTCGAAACTTAATTGCTTTACATTCTATCCTAAAAAATATTTCATGGTTTTCTAGCTAGACATATAGAAATCTATTAAAAAATAATAAAAATAAACAAATATTTACTTTACCCAACAAAATTAATACTTATATAATATTCCTTAGTTCTATCACTTACCAGGAGGCATAAATCTCAACCCGCCAACAGGAGCAGCTGCATATGGCAATCCCAGATATCTTTCCACGCCTGGTAAGGCATGTTGCATTTTTGCTTCTACGATTTGCCCTTGGACAAGACCTTGTTTCAGTCTCACAATCCGCGTCGGCGTCAGCTCTTCTTCATAGTTGAAGTTAACTCTTTCTGCATCATCAGCATTATTTTGTCTCTGATTTGGCGAAGAAATCCCATAAGGATAATTTGACGAAAACTGATTTGGATTCAAGGAATCCCCAAATGACAACCGATCCCTAAATGAATTTCCTGTCGAAAAAGCAGACACAGATTCATCATCGTGGCCAGGATTGGAATAGAATCTGGCTCGTGTTTTTCTAGTATTTAATTCATAAGGGCCTGCATTTTCAGAATTGCTGATGATATCGGCAAGTACAGCATGATTCTTAAACATTTGGTTTATTGCATCCTCGTTTTCCAATGAAGGCGGTTTTGATTTTGTTTCGTTGCAATCAACTTTAATATTAATACTAGAAGCTGGTAATTTTTTACCACTTTTGGAACCAGATGAAGAAGCATTTTTAGAAGGTTTGTTTTTCTTTTTTGCGTTTTTGACGGATCGTTTAAATTTTTTAATCCTTCTACCTCTGTTGTCAGAAACGGATTCCTGAGGTCTTCCAATATTTTTCACAATAGCATTTTTATCTAGAATTCCCAATAAAATATCATCTTGCAGCACTTGCGATAAATTCGGATCATTTTCAAAATTATTTAAAATCTCGTTGAAACTATTTTGGCTTGGTTGGATATCATTATTAATCTCACTATTAATATTAAACGAAATACTTATTTTATTTTCAGTCCTTTCACTTTTGGAATCATCGACTATTGTCAAAAAATCATCAGAGTTTGATAATACTTGGTTATTGGAATAAATTTCATTTTCCGAGGAAGATTCCTTCGGATAATACTGATAATTTTTCGTAAAGTCTGAGTGTCCTATGGCAAATATTGTGTTTGATATCGAACACAACACTAAGGCACTTAAAGCAGTCCAATGATATTTTGATCGCATATTGTCACTTTGTCGCACTATTTTGCACTATTACTACACATTGTATAGATCAATATTTAAAACAATTTTAAACATTTTCTTTAATCGATTTAATTGAATATATAGTTGAGCTACTTTTCAGCTAGCTTTAAACTAGAAATGCATACATTTTTAATAAGGAATACCATACTTCAGGTAGTCATGAATAAGTAGTCAATTATTAAGCCAAGTCAATTATTAAGCCAAGCCAAGAGTGCCATACTTCAATATGTAATTTATTATATGTATTTATTTATTCTTTAATATATAATATGTTATATATACATAAATACCGAAATTATGGTGTTTTAAACTGTTCATGTAACACGTTCAACGAATTCGTAATACTATATTATTAATATATGTTTTAAAAGAAATCCTTGCATTCGGTAATTAATAATTTTTTGATAAACCTTAGTAAGTATTGTAAACACAATCATAAAACTTACTTATTTTAGAGCAAAATATTATAAACAATTTACCCATAAAAAGTAATTATAACTACAGTATATATCGATAATTTAGTGCGAGTGTTTAGAAAAATAATAATTCGTGATTTATTTCTATAAATAATACAAATCAGAGGCGCAAATCCATGTGGAGGCTTTGCCAAATATCTAATGCCAATCATTTAAATAAAATGATAAATTGATAGATTTAAATTAGTAGCATTCAAAATAATTGTAACATTCTTAGTAACATTTAAGAAACTTGAAAGAAAATTAGTATATATGAAAAAATTCATAGCAACTTATTCGTTTTTATAATAATGGGCTAATTCAAATATTGGTTAATTATATTGAGCCCATATCGGTTTCAAATAGAAGTTTAATATTGTTTACCAATATTGGGCTCATATGATGCTCACACTGGTTTCAAAATTGGTTTTATATGGGAAAATGTTAACGGTATAATATTAGGACAATATTGATAAACTATATTGGCCACACATAAAAAATAATAGTGCGCCACGACTCATTTCTATTTGGATTAGTTTCTTAGAGTAAATTCCTTTAAATACTTTGTCAAATTCTTATAGCAAATAATTGCAATTTAATAAATATATAACATTGAAAGCAGTTATGACATACATCATACATTAATTAATTGCATATTTGAAAAAAAAACAAAGCAAATTATTTATTAAAGTAACAGTGACGCACATCAAAATTCTCATTGCAAATATTCTAAATGATAAGTAATTATTTTTATTGATCAATTTTAATCATTTATTAAATACACTTATGCTGAAATTGGAAATAATTAAAAGACGCGTCACATTGTAACAAATTGAATATTCGAAGAAAAAATCATAACTTTTTTTATACTGTACAAGTGGTACATTTTTGGATGGTTCGCCATAGCAGATATAATAAAATTAGATATAATATAAATAACCAATATGGAAAATGTTTATAACATAAGTGAGACCCCCTAATAAAGTGCACATTGCTATTTTTATTAAATGGCATGTAATATACAAATGCAGTTAATTTGTTTTATCATTATTTGCAATTTTCCATTCATTTCCAAATCAGTTCGTCTATTTTGTGTAATCATTTATTGATAAAATTAGTAAAATCATTTAGATCATTCAAACGTATTTTCCATGTTTAAAACTGTTAATATCAAATAAAATTAACAATTATCAATAATTATTACAAATCTCAAGAATATTAGAAGAAAACACGGCTTATATATTTTAAGTACCAATAAAAAATTTGGCATATCAAAATTATTTATATCATGATGATCTTTACGACTTATTTTTAGCATAAAATTCTATAATTCTGAGTCTATTTTTTTAAATCCAATTTTTATGAAATCTTCACTTTTAATCCACTAATATCAAGAATGTTCTAAATATTCAAACTATTTTACTTAACACGCACATTACACAACGTTGTGCACTGCCAAGAGCCAAATCGAAACTATTTTTATAAGTGCTGCCACGCATTTTGCAAGTTTCAGTTTGTTGACTTAAATCCCGCAATGAAATAACCAATGGAACACATTGTTATAGAATTATGTATTATGAATCACTGGTTTGAATAAAGTCATAAATGTGTTGATTTTCATCGATACACGGTTAAATAAAATCCAAGGTTGTTTATTCATAATAAATATATGCATGTTTAATCGAACACTTGCAAATTTTAATCGAACGTTCAACTAAATTATCAACTTCCCGAAGGAGAAGTTTATGTTTTCATAAAAAAATCCGATTTGCTAATTTTATGTTTTCTCGACGTTTCAAGCCATTCTGAATCGAATGAGACCAAATTTGAAAAAAGTATGTGTGTGTGCGTGTGTGCAAACAGATTTTTTGTGAAAATTAGACCTTTCATCGACGATTGCTCAAAGACGCCTGAACCGATTTCAGAAATTTAAAAACTTTTTGATGTGTCTCAATGAGGACTATCGCTTGTTAGTTTTGTGCGACGATCGGCCGAGCCGTTTCTGTGAAATTTGCAAAAAGTGTTAAACTTTTTGTCCACATTTAAGCTCATACTACTGAATCGATTTTAAAAATCGAACTGTTCGAAAGATATTAGCTGGGAATAATACTGATTAGTTTTTTGTGAAAATCTACCCAGCCGTTTTCTTGAAATTAACTGTTGAAAAAAAAATTTAAGCCAATATTTATGGAACTTTTTTGGTGATATATACCATGGTCTTATATAACTTACTGGATTATTACGGCATTACGACAAGTAGTTTAATTTTAAAAATCCATCAAAATTTGAGAAAATGAGTAGTTTTTTTGACGTTTGTTAGAATTAAAATTAGACAATTCCCTTGGTATAACGATAGAGTACTTAGTCTTAATAAGCGTATTATTAAAGTTTTACGGAAACTGGTTCAATTAAAAATTTATTTATTTTTGAAAATTTGCTTTTAGAAAATACTCCAATTAACGTGTTCGTTCGTTTTCAATTATGTGTAAGAAATCCACTCGAAATACTTTTATTCACTCATAAATTAATTTATTTTTTATTGATTAAGTCGATTATTTACACATATCGGAAAGATCATATAACGTAAAGTTGCGCGTTGGTTACTTTTTCGACAAGACCGTTCCAGCCGTTTCCTTATAATTAGCAGATAGGTGCATTTTTTATGTTTTTGCCTAATTATCCTAAGCCAATTTTAAAAATTAAAAACCTTTCGGAAAATATCAATTGAGAATCGTCCTAATTAGCTTTTGGTAAAGATCAGCCAAGCTATTTCTTCGAAATTTACTGTTGAATTTTTTAATGAAACTTTGCACAGTGGTAGAGGTCATGGTCTTACCATGATCTTTTACTTCCTAAATTATAGTAATTCTACAAAAAGTAGTTTTGCAAAAATATGCAAATTCAATAAAGTTTCAAATAAAGGGCCGCTCTTTGAAGAGTTACAAGATGAATGCAAGTGTTCGTTTTTTTCAAAATTATTCATAACATTTCAGCAAATTTGCATAAAATTGTGAACTCTGCAATATATTCCAACAATATAAAGCCCTACATCATACCCGGACGCCCAATCAATAGATTGGCAATCTATTTAAACATTTTTTCAAGTACGACCAAAAATTTGCTGATGTTCAGGAAGGAATAAGAAAAAATGAAGCCTTACAAGGACTCGGTATAATTATGAAATACTCATTAATATACTCATATAGTATATTATTTACACGTATCCAGAAGTTAATCCAACTTGTTTTAACAAAAAAAAAGTTTACACATGGTTCTACCGTTCTTCTGCATACTACTTTTAAATAATAAATGCAATATTTTAATGGACACACTAGATATTTCTAGATATTTTAAATTCAAAGCTAATATTTATACTTGCTTTCCGGCAGTATATACTCTACCTTAATAATATATCATTAATATTATTCGACAATTATATGAAATACTTTTGAACATATTTTGGCACTATCACAAGCCAGATGTGCAGGTTATTTTTAAAGTTGTTTTTAAGAAATCTAATGGGAACATTTTCTTGTAATTCGAAAATTTACCGGACGTGGCGTACATAAAATTAAATGACTAAGGACATTGTGTGGCTATTTTCAAATTCAAGCTAACAATTAACTTGTAATTAAAACAACTATGTGCAATTTATTTATATTGATGTACCAAAACTCCTCAAACTCAACACTACCAAATTTTTGAAAAAAATGTAAATACAATTAGCATTTATCATACTCGGACGCCCAATCAACGGATTGGCGCCCGGGTTAAGTACGACCAAAAATTCGCTGATGCTCAGGATGGAATAAGTGCAAATAATAATTAAAAAAACAATTATCATGAAATTTAACCTTAATAATTCACTACACTGCACACAATAAATAACTTATTCACTAAATTATTTTTCCCGCTGTAACTACCCAGTGTCACGTTTACCATTATTTGGCAAAAATTAATTTCAACTCACGAACACCATCGTTCTAAACTTTCCACTGTAAACATTGTCTTCTATAAGAGAAGGTTTCCATTAAAGATAATCTTCGATAAATGCGAAGTACGAACTCTGTGTTTGACTTTAGAGAGCCAAACAAGAACATCTTTCAAATGCTAATAAGTAAAAGATTCTTGAGATACGTAAATATACATACTGAACTAACTGACTTCGGTACACATCCGAAACCAAACATACGTGAGCACTGAAAACAAGGAGGTAGTTGCAGGAGAAACTGTTAAACTATTTAAACGCCACCTATTCAGGATTAAATATCAATAATGATTTTCACTTTGAGTGTTTAATAATATGCACTATACGTGATCCAAAACATTACATTTTTTATTTGATACAATATTATGGGTAATATGCTGAATTCGCTTGAATTATAAATACTGAACGAATAAAACTAATAAACCATATCAATATGTAAAACTAGTGGTGTTTGTTTGGCATCGAGCTTTAAGGCAAATTGCTGCAACTTTCCGTATCGTAATGAAATATTGGAGGATCATTAAATGTTTTCAAAC